AAAAAGCAAAGGACATGCGACGGGGAACCGTGTTATTCAATTGCCGATTTTCGTGGGTGAAGTGAAATTTCAAACATTCCCACGCTCGAAACGAGATCTCTAAGACTTATCAAAAATCGTTATCACCTCCTACATTTTTGTTTTTTAACTGCCCATGACGTCAACAGGAGTGACTTCTATAAGTGATTTCAACAACATTGACGTCTGCATCGCCGAGTCTCACAAGCTCTCGAGTTTCAGGACAGCGAGTTTCACAAGCAACTGGTCTTATACTATAAAACGCTAAGCAGTCGAGTAAAGTCCCGCCGAGCGCTAGGGGTTTGAAGAGACTACAGTGTGACCGGTTTGGGGGCAAATTCTTGAAATCATGTGACTAATTCTCGCATGCGATTAATGTCATAGATTTTATCGAAGGTGCCTTATTCTTATCGCACAGGTTAGGTTAGGTTAGACATAAAATTGGTATTCTTGAACAGAAATCGATAAGATTTTATCACTTGTCGCATGGGATAAAGTAATCGAATGAACCACTGTGGTGATAACAGAAAATCTAGATTCTAACCTCAAACAAATTATAGAACTTAAAAATAGTAACAATTAATGGCTGTGGCTGTTGTCTAGTGTCACACTATCACTATCTCATATTCTCATTCAATTACCAATATTGTGTTTTGTGTACTTACTTTTTTTTTTGTACTTATGACTACTTAGTTGGTGTTGTACTTGTAATTTGTTGTTTTTTCTTGTAAGAACTAAGCAGAATGTCAAGAACTCGACCCTCCCAAAATCAAATGAACTCATGGCCAAAGATCCCCAATTGTGTTCCGGCAAATTTACACCATCGTTAACTAATAAAATAGCGAGAGAGAAATGGGGAAATATAACAGTGCGAGTAAATTCGTTGCCAGGAGCCCAAAAGAGTTATGATAAATGAAAAAAAGTAAGTTACTTCTTCTTATACGTGTTTGACAATATTATGAGTAATTGTTGTAGAATACTAATGCCCATCTGCATAGTTAATGTATGTGTCACATAACTTGACTATATATATATGGACATATCTGTATTTTTTTCTTTGTAATCATGGCAAGATACTAGATCAACTACCAAAACTAAAGCGGCCGCTATAAAACGTCATATATCGGGTACCGTTGGAGGTCCATCTTGTACCATTGAATTAAGTGAAATTCAAAAAGACGCATTAAGTTTAATGAGTCAAACATCTATAAGTGGCCACATACAATGATCAGAATCACTTGTTGACTTTGACTTTAATGATGTTTCTACAGAAATTGTATTAATTGGTACATTTGTAAAATGAGTAACTAAATATTCATTGAATTGAAAAATTATAGTTTTAATAATGTGCTCTGTTTAGGTGGCGATGAACTATGTAATGAATCAAAGTGGATTACGGAGTAAAGTTCTGATGACATTAATTGTATGTGTTACAAATTTGGTTATTCAATGTTTACGTTTTTAGCAAATTCTCATTAATTGTTATATTATTATAGTTTCCAATGAGAATGAAAATATTCAAATGTCATCATCCATTGCTCCAAATCCAAGTAATATTCTTACACATTTATAATTCACTTCTAATAAGAAATATAAACAAATAATTGACTTGAATCTTTAAAATGTTTGTATCATAGTTTCCATTGAAAATGAAAAGATGAAAATGAAAATATCAGCAGATGTTGATCCTAATACCAGTAATATTTTCACAAATTAATCATTCACATAACACATTTATATTATTATAGGTATATATTTATTACCTACCCTAACTATATTATTTAGTGAGGTACAGGGACTAAAATTGTGTATAACACAACACACATTATGTAATACAAAATGCTAAGTAATAGCCTATATCAGCATTCAGCGGTTCCCAAACTTTTTTCATTAAAGGCTCCCTAATAATGAAACATTTTTTTCACGCCTCCCGTAAAGAATATTTAATAAAATAGGTTAAACATTGTTTAATGTATAATATTTATTAGTTTTAAATTTAAATTTTGATGACAAAAAAAAACAGTTAACTTAATATTTTATTCTATTCAAAATAATTAATGCGAACAATGTGCTTGTTTTTCGTTTATTAATTTTTTAAAATTAGGAATTAATGTAGTTACTGCAACACGCATTTCTTTTTCCACATTGAGTTTGGACCGATATTTTGATTTTAATACGGCTACAGCTAAAAATCCTGCTTCAAATAAATATGAAGTAGCAAATGGTATTAATATGCGTAAAGCTTTGTTGCTAACTGCAGGATATTCGTCTTTAATACTGTTCCAAAATCCTAAAAAAGAATATGAAGAAAATTGCATTCGTAGTGATGAATCGGATGAAATGTCGATTAATTGTTCCTCTTCTGTAGTTGTGAAATTTGATATAGGCTTTTCAGTGAACGGGTCTTTAATCCAATAGTACTCTTTCATTTCTTCTGGGAAATATTTCATGAAATGAGTTTCAAGATTCGTCATGCTCTTAAAATGTTGTATTTAAACTCATTGGTAATTGAAGATCATTCTCTCCAAGAAAATATTTTAGAAGTGGAAAACAAGTGGTTTTGCCATTTTCTTCCGTTAATTTTCTTTTCCATAAGTTGAATTTTTTGAAAAAAGCAACTATCTTATCGTATAGTTGTAGAATATGAGTTTCTTTACCTTGTAAAGATATATTAAGTGAGTTAAGTTTTTCAAAAATATCACATTAATAGGCTAATTTTATTACAAAATCACTATCAACAAACATTTCGCTATTATTATAACCTTCTCCATTTAAATAAGAATAAAGTTCTTGTCTAAGTTCGAATACTCTTGAAAGTACATTACCTTTTGATAGCCATCTAGAATTACAGTAAAACAGTAATGTTGTATGTTCTGCTCCCATTTCTTCACACAGTTTTTGAAAAAATCTTGCTTTAACAGGTCTTGTTTTTACATAGTTGACTACTTTTATAACTATTTCGTACATAATTTAAAGAGCAACTTATATTTTGTGACGCTAAAGCCTCTCGATGAATAAGACAATAAGTCCATATAATTTCTGGAACTTTTTGTCGAATTAAAGCCTGAAGTCCACCGTACTGACCAGACATAGCTCGAGCTCCATTTGTACACACACCCAAACAGTTTTCCCATTTAATATAATTATGATCCATAAAATTATTGGTGATATCAAATAGGTCTTTAGCTTTAGTACCACTTAATATAGATGTACAAAATAATAATTCATCTATAATATCTACTCCATCCATAAACCGAACATAACATATTAAATATGCATCTTTTATTACTATCGGTTGCTTCATCAAGCTGAATCGCGAAATTTTTATTTCTTAATTTATCAATAAGCTGATCTGTGCGATTGCGACCGTCCCGGTTGTATAGTCACGCGGGACAATTCCGACAACCTAGAAATGCCGGATAAAAGAAAAAGGAGGTAACTCGAAATACCGAGGAATTGGCTTTGGAGTAAATACAATATGATATGTGCTTTGACAGCTATGTAGTGGACTGTAATAA